CTGGATTGCAGTGGTGTGATCTCCGCTCACTGCAACTTCCGCCTCTTGAGTTCAAGGGATTCTCCTGCCTCAGCCTCCTGAGTAGCTGGGATTATAGGTATGCACACCATGCCTGGCTGATGTGTGTATTTTTAGTGGAGACAGGGTTTCACGGTGTTGGCCAGGCTGGTCTCAACCTCCTGACCTCAGGTGATCCGCTCTCCTCTACCTCCCAAGGTGCTGGGGAGGTGTGAGCCACCGTGACCTAGAAACGTTTTTATTTTTTTGACTGTAAAGGAAGAAATAAATCTCTCTTTATTTTCATATAATACAGTGTTAAATTAAATACATTAAATACAAAATCAATGTACAAAAAATTATATTTCTATATGCCAGCAATGAAAAACATTTAAGTATGTTTATACCATTTCCTGAAATATGAAACACATAGGTATAAATCTAACAAAATATATGCAAGACCTGTAGGCTGAAAACTACAAAACACTCACAAAAGAAAACATTATTTTCTTTTCTAAATAAATGGAGTGACAAATGTGTGTCCAGGGATTGGAAATTCAGTATTGCTCTCAGTTCTTCCTAAAATGGTCTACAAATTCAATGCAATCCCCATCAAATCTTAGCAGGAATTTTTGCAGATATTGACAGGGTATGTCTAAAATTTATTGGGAAAGGCAAAAGAAATAGAATAACCAAACATTTTTTGAAAAATAAAGTTGGAGGACTCCCACTACCTGATTTTAATGCTTATCATAAAGCTACAGTAACCAAGAGAGTGTGATACTCATGGTAAGATAGACATACAGATCTATGGAAAATAAAGAGGCTCCAGGAATAGACACAGACAAAGGTAGTCAACTGATTTTTCACCAAAGTGCAAAGGCAGTTCAACTGAGAAAAATATAATGTTTTCAATAAATGGTGATTAAACACTTTGGAAGACAAAAACAAAACTCTCCTGATCCTTCCACACCTCACAGCGTAAAATATTAAAATGTAGTACAGGAATAAATGTGAAATTATAGCACTTCTAGAAAAAAAGGAAATCTTTGTGCCTTTGAGTTAGAAAAAAAATTGTTGGATACATAATGAAAATACGATCAACGATAGAAAAAAGGCAAACTGAATTTTATCAAAATCAAAAACTGCTCTGTGAAAGACACAGCTAATAAAATGAAATGAGAAGACTCAGACTGGGAGAAAATATTTGCAAATCATTTATCCGACAAGAAAAACTTCTTTTCTATTTTTTTTTATTGTACTTTAGGTTCTGGGGTACATGTGCAGATCATGCAGGATTGTTGCATAGGTACATATATAGCAGTGTGGTTTGTTGCCTCCATCCCCCCATCATCTGTATCTGGCATTTTTCCCCATGTTATCCCTCCCCAACCTCTCCAACCCCCACCCCTGCTGTCCCTCCCCTGGCCCCCCACAACAGACCCCAATGTGTGATGTTCCCCTCCCTGTGTCCATGTGTTCTCGTTGTTCACCACTCACCTATGAGTAAGAACATATGGTGTTTGATTTTCTGTTCTTGTGTCAGTTTGCTGAGAATGATGGTTTCCAGATTCATCCATGTCCCTACAAAGGACACAAAATCATCATTTTTTATGGCTGCATAGTATTCCATGGTATATATGTACCACATTTTCCTTGTCCAGTCTATCGTCAGTGGGCATGTGGGTTGGTTCCAGGTCTTTGCTATCGTAAACAGTGCTACAGTGAACATCTGTGTGCATGTGTCTTTATAATAGAATGATTTATAATCCTTTGGGTATATACCCAGTAACGGGGTTGCTGGGTCAAATGGAATTTCTGTTTCTAGGTCCTTGAGGAAGCACCACACTGTCTTCCACAATGGTTGAACTAATTTACGCTCCCACCAACAGTGTAAAAGTGTTCCTATTTCTCCACATCATCTCCAGCATCTGTTGTCTCCAGATTTTTTAATGATCGCCTTTCTAAGTGGTGTGAGATGGTATCTCAGTGTGGTTTTGATTTGTATTTCTCTAATGACCAGTGATGATGAGCATTTTTTCATGTGTTTGTTGGCCTCACATATGTCTTCTTTTGCAATCTACCCATCTGACAAAGGGCTAATATCCAGACTCTACAAAGAACTAAAACAGATTTACAAGCAAAAAACAAACAAACAAATCCATCCAAAAGTGGGCAAAGGATATGAACAGACACTTTTCAACAGAAACTTTTTAAAATAAATTATACATCCAAGTTTTTAATTACCTGGGACTTATCTGAATATTTTTGCTCTTTTTATTAAATTCTCACTATTGTCTTGTAAAATGTACATTTTAAAAGTTGAACATTATTTATAGTGTACTGTTGTTTTTTATTTTTTAGATCAAACCACCAGATCATCTAGTAAATATACAGAATCATTTTGGCAGTCATCACAGAGTAAGTAAAGCCATGTTTACAGGTCTCTCTGTGGGCTTGGTCAAATGCTGTTCCTATTTTTGAAGATCCTCTTTTGAAATTTAATGTAAATATTGAAAAAGAGGAATAATGAATCACCAGTAGGGGAATGGATAATTTGAGATATG